GAAGAGCAACAACAATGTTGAAGAAGTTGCCGGAAATTGAAAAGTTGCCGGAAGTCGATTGAGAGCGATGGCGGAGCAGATTTGAGGAAGAGAGTTTGAGTCAGAAGAGAGGAAGAACGATGAAGAAGAGAAGTGAAAAGAAGTTGAAGACAGTGAATCCCAAAAAAGTGAAGAGAATTTTGGATTGTTTTGTATTTAAAATTTGGACTGTTTTGTATTCTTAAAAAGATTAGAAGTTTTGAAAATGTTAATTCAGTCCCAATTAACTTAATCTAATAATTAAATGTCTTTGACTTATTTTTGGTCAAAATAATCACCAAAATTTAAATAAAGACTTGAGTGATACCTTTTGTTCAATTTTCTCAAGTTAGTTAGGCTAGATATTTTCCTCCTCTTTGTATAAATAGATGATCTATACGACTCTTTGACCAATTTTCACGATAATGAGATCCTAAGGCAGTTTCCTATTTCTATATAATATATATATTGAAGAATGGAGTTCATCAAGCTTTAATCCAAGCTAAAGTAAGCTGAATTTAACAATAGGCACAATATATTATTATTAATTATTTTCTTATTGATATTCTTTTTGCTTTGTTTTGGTAAAGAATGTAATTTTGAGTTTTGTTTTTTATCGTGGTGTCCGGATAGCTTTTTGACTAATTCCACAGAAAATTTTGAACATTAATATTTCATTTTCAACTTTTGGTGTTTGACTTGGTGGTCTACATTTTTTTTTTGAATAGACAAGTAACAAGACTGCAAGAATGATATCCAGTGGAAGCTAATTTTCTACATATTAAAAGAAGTTTTATTGTATTAATTTGATTTTTAGATATCTCCTTTTATAGGTAACACGATAAAAATATCTTCATCTTTAAGTCATATTGTGCATACATTCCACTAAACTATAACACAGAGAGATTGTTACTCAGAAGAGTAGAAGAATCGTACTGTATAGTCAACATATACAACCGGTTAAAATAGTCTAATGAGAAAATATATGTTCACATTTGTAGTTGCAAATGAGATTGACTTGGTATATTTTAGAACGCACACATTTAAATTCATGATCTTGTAACCAAAAAAATGAAACACAATTAGTTAGTTCAGTGATGAAAATTTCATGCTGAGTTTTTCAAACATGCTATTTGAATATGGTCACTAACCATAAATTTAATTAGTTATATTTTCTTTATGTATTCTATATTTTTCTTGGATGCTTAGAGATTAGCTATAGTTTTCCAGTTTTTTGGGATTAGAGTATATTTACTTGATTTGAATTCATTGATAAGTCATAATATTGTGAGCTTGATGTCTTGATTGTCTACAGAAGTGTATGTTTGGGGACGGTGAGTGCTAGCATCTTTAACAATGGAGAGAGGTATTTTGGCGAGCAGCTCAGAGGGAGTTTATACAACAATCTCTGGGTTAATCAGTTGTTAAGAAGTTTGAAACCGGAGAAGGAGGAGAGCAAGATCAAACCTGAGGTTGCTTTCTCTGTTATCGCTATAGAGAATGACAGAGACTCTGGTAAAATTTAATTATTTCTCTTCTATAAGACATGTTTGCTTCAACTAATGTCACGTTAGTGTGTAAATATGATGGAAATAAGTTGATATGTGTGATATGAACTATATATTGTGAATGGAAGTGGATGCAACATTTAAGCTTGATAGGTCCAGTACCTAAGATTTTTAGCATTGAAACACACTTGTGAAATTATGGCCCTGTCATAAGGGAACTGCTAATTTCTTAAATCATTTGCAGTCGGGTAAATATTTCTCACCCCGATAGTCATCGGGATCCACAAACTCTGTCAAAGTCAAAGAAAAGAGATAGGGTTCAACCTTGAATCGATCAGCTGGTTAGGCAATTTGACTATTGCAAGCTCTTGCTACCCGATGATTTTCTGCAAAGAGAATTTCCTACTAGAGGGCATAACATAGTATAGTTGTCCAAATCATCTCTTGCTCTTATCATTTGAGATGCAAGCTTTAATTTGCATGTTATGCAACTATTTAAGAATAAGCACCTGAGAAATCACCTGTTATGTCAAGCTAGAAGCTATTAATAGTGCAACATATTTATTTAAAATATATTTTCTATCCATTGCTAAGAAGTTTGAGGTTCTTGGAGCCATGAACACTAACGTCTGAGATGTTGAGAGTTTCTAAATAATGATCTGTCAATGTTTTAAATAGGTTTTTGTGTATATCTTTTCTCCTAGCATATTTTGCTATCACCTTTATCATGCTTCTTTAGTTTCTTTATGAGGCTCTATATACAAATATATAATGTGTAGTTTGTAATTTTTCAGCTTTGTCTAGATTGATTATTTTTTAGAACAACAAGACTCTCGGAATTTTTTTTTACAACTCAACACGGTATTTAAATCCACCATCTTTAATTTGTTTAGAAGTATGAATTATAGTGATTAAAATAGTATGTTAAATGGTCTCTTATGTATAGTTAATGCTAAGTCAAGTTGAGAGTGATATTAGATTTATAGTAGTTATTACTAATAGTTGGAAGAACTTCTCATTTTTCGTAATAAATTATAGTAAAATTTATCCCCTTTATGAGCCTATCAATGTGTCAGCTAACCTACTTGAGAGAGTTTTTTTTGTTTTTTTGTTTTTGATCAACTAAATATTTTGTGATGTTGAGAATGATATTGGTACTTCATGGTTTTTGTTGATAAGAGGCAATGGCTTTTTAGTGTATCTTTCTTAGTATTGTAATTGAATTTGGTAAAAGCCAAAAGTTGATTTTTACTTTGGTGGGTTTGAGCAGGACTGAGGACTTTTTTGCGGCATTGGATAAGAAGTAAAGAAAATCAAGATGTATTTATTTCATTGTTTCAGTCTTTTTTTGTGCAAATTGGTCGAAAAAACTCAATATTTGTTTGTTTCCTTGTCTTTTGAATTGATAAACTTGAGCCTTGAAATATAATGCAACTTAGACTTTCTTGTTTCCTTACAATTCTGACTGTTTTTATGTGTTCATTATTTTGGATTTTTTAGTTACTGGAAACAACACATTACTAGGTTCTTAGAGTAATAAGGATCATGATCAATCATTCGATACTAGGGAGGATGAACTAGAGAAAATGTGTGCTACTTATTTAAGGTTTTTGCTGCCTCAGTGACCGATTTACAGGTAAGTCAGTATGCTTCTTTCTGTTAGATTACCTTAATTAACTCTTGACTTTAACCAAATGAGATTAGTCGATTTTAGTAGATATTAACATCTATTTGGATTTGATTTTCATTTTATTCTGACACTTGATAATTCTGAAAGGCCACTATTTCAAATGCTTTGTATATGGTGTTGTTATGATTTATGAGATGGTGTCATTTTCATTATGTGTATTTTTGCCCTTTTTTGTGTGAATCCCAATGTCCATTTGGATATGAGAACTAAACATGTGAGCATGTTTTTGTTAGTACTGGACCATGTTCTACTGTTAGTCCTCTGAAATTTGGTAAAATAGCTGTTGAAAAAAATTCTATTCTAAACTTGATTATTTTTCATTCCAAGTCTTAAAAGAAGAGAGAATCAATGAAAACATGAATTGTCAATTCTGTGAGTTTTGGTAAGACTAAGAATTCAAATATTTAATATCTCTTTAATAAGTGTGTTCTCTCTTATAATTTAAGAAATTCTTATCTGCACTAGACTTCCTTTTATAGTTATAATATATTATCTTGCATGTAACAAAGTTATTATAATCAGAAACCTTGGGAGCATATGTCATGTGTTTGAGAAAGTGAATAGGGCAAGAATGTAACAAGTCAAATGAATATCAATTACTTTGTTATATTTTCTTCATGAGCTGAATAGCTCTTTAGTTCAAATTCATAATCCAGAGTCGATGAATCCAAAGCTTAAATGAAATATTTTGATGTCAATTTTTTTTAAAAATAAGTGGCAGTTTGTAAAAGACAAAGAACGAAGAAAAAAGTTAATGTTCTACAGTTATCTTCTCCTCTCTAGAGGTGATTTTTTGAAATATTTATTATCTTGTGTTTCTCTTATTGAGTATTGAGAAGGAAGACACTGTTATGGGGATATCACACCATTATGAAATGTGATAACTTGAAAATATTTAAAACTATAATGCTGTGAAATAGTGATGTTAGTTGTTAGTAATAAAGAGATAAAAGACATAGTTATGTCAACGTTAGAAAACAGCTAGCCGCCAAAATGCATTAGAAGTCCTCCATTAAAATAAAAAAGGTGTAGAGAGTGACAAAGAAAAACTGAATGTGTAATTTATTATTTTTTGTATAAATGGATATTTGAAGGTCTTATATGCATATATGTTTTTTTTTGTACTTAAATATAATTTTTGTTCATCATTTTACTGGTAATTCATAATATATATTTTTTTTCAGTTCTTTCAAGTCCAACTTTACTAGTTGATATGTATTCGCTTGATTTTCAAGGTACCTCCAGATCTTCTACGTTGTAGTTATTGGGATGCAGAGGATTGACTACTAAGCTTAGGAATCTAGCTCCAGCTTATTGTAAATATTGAATTAGACTATGTTTGTGTGGTATTTGAAGATACAAATAAACCTTGTATGTTTAGGGGTATTATGTTTATAACAATATTTGATGTTGGTTCAATTGAACAATTAATTTTGGATAGTAAGGTGACTTCATAAAGTGTGGGTAGCAAAATAGTTCCACTACAAAGGACTCAACTATTTAAAATTCTTTTTATATATACATTTTTCCTATTAGATGTTGATGCTTCTTCATTAATCATCTGCTTTTCTTTAGTGAAATTCTTTCACTACTTATAATTCGATAAAATGCATGTAAAATTATTGATGAGAAGTTGTAATGGAATTGCTTACTCTTTAGTTAAAACAACAATTTAATTTGATAGTGTTGGGCCCGTGCTCTAGCACGGGCCATACCCATCTAGTAATATGAATAATTGCAAAAAGAAAAAACAGCAAACGCATGTTTTAATTTCTCTTGCATTTTTTATATTTGTTCAACTAAATTTATTGTGTAAATATAATTTCTCTCTTAGTGGTGACATTCTAGCTTTAAAGTAGATAAATGACTCACTTATCCACATGTCAAAAAGTTAATGAAGTTTCACACACCTTTTGTTGGTTGTGCCTCTATCGTGATAATTTTTTTCGTAATTTACCTATTTATTACATAGGCGAAAAAATTGGAGTTAAAAGAGTTAATAAACATCACATTTAAGCTATTCTAATTTATTGAGTTTTATATCTAAGCTAGTGAATTCATCCGTGCTTCGCACGGTCTTGAAAAATACAAATAATTTATTTATTATATTTGAATTTTAGTTGAAATTTTTAAATACTTTTTGAGAATTTCTTCTTACATAAAAAGAACATAAAATAAAATAATTATATTATACCTTCCTATAAGTGTATAGATGTATAATTTGGTTCCATAGGAAAAAAATATGAAAAAAATTTACATGTAATATCTTCTTTAGATGAAAGAACATTCTTATAATTTATAACGATTTAAAATAAATAACATAAATACACTATTTTTTTAAGTGAAAAAAAACGATAGAAGAAGAAATAAATAAATATAGTTTTAAAGAATATGTGATATGTATTGGATTTGGTAATTATAATTAATATACTTTTACCGTAAATAAGTAACAGTTACAATTAAATAATGAGTAATGTTTTAATCGTGGAACTTCTACGTACCAATTAACTTTAATGTAGAATAATAATTTTTATAACATGAAAAAAAATATAATTAGTGTTCTTGTTCTTAAAAAGTCAAGTCAATTAATTATTGTTATTATAATTTCAAAACATTATGAGCATGTAAGCCAAAATGAACTCAAACAATGATGACCCAAAATGTCATCTTCTCATATTTATTCTATATTTAAGTTATTTATCCCGATACAATATATATTTGACTAAATATACATACATCATCTTCTTATTTTAAATATTAGAGATAAATCTAGCACTAATTTATAATACTAATTAGAACTGAAAGAATTTATAGATTTACAACAATAAGAAGTTCGTACGAGAATTAAACTTAAAAGTCATCATAAAGATACACAAGAAAGAATGAATGAAAGAAATAATGAGAAAAGACATAGAGTCACCACTGAAGTTGTCTCGAATTTTCAAAAAAACACCTTAACTTTGTGGATGTCCTATTTCTCCATTGAACAATTTAAGAGTGTTATAAATATCCCACTTTTCACCCAACCTCAATTGCAAGAAAAGAGGTGCAATCACACACCAATTGTTGTTTGACACGTATTAAATTCTTTTAATTTTTAATTTTTAGTTTCATTTTCATCTTTTCTATTTTTATTAACTTTATTTTCATTTTTTCCCTCTTTCTTCTTAAATCTTCATAACTCAAATCCTTTGTTCTTAGTTGTAAATTCTCTAAAAGTAGCAGCCATTGTCGCCTTCAACGTAGCCTCCATGATGCTTCAGTGTTACAACACTATTTTCGCCACTAAAACATCACTAAAAAAAAATCAATTCAACTCTCAAGTTACTAAAGCAAGGTAATGAGACCAAAAAAATAAATTGAGTTTCATAATACTCTCTAATCAATGGAGTTCACATTTTATTTTATTTTTTAAAAAAGAGGATAAAAGAAGAAAAAGAAACAAAGAAAAGCAAGAGACAAGAAAGAAAGTGATAAAAATGGATGAAGTAAATGATCTTCTAAGTTGAAGAAGATGAAGAAAAGATAATTGGATTTTGAATTTGGGTGAAGAAGATAATGGGGAAGATGATGTAAATTAATTAAATAATTAATAATAAAGAAATAAAACGACACATGGCGCTTTAAAATTGGTTAATGACAGTGAAAAGACTGGGTCACGCGCCTCATGTGCGTGGTAACAACCACGACGAGGAAATGGGTCAAAATGGCCCATTTACAAAGATATTAAACAGTTCTGTAGGGTGATAGGACACTTCCAAAGTTAAGGTGTCTTTATGCAAAAATACGGGACAACTTTAGTGGTGACTTTATGTCTTTTCTCAAGAAATAATACAATACATATATCATTGCGACTTTAATCATTAAAATAAAATAAGAAGGAAACAAATACAATACATATTGTCTAAGATATTGTCATATCCACTTCACAAGCCTATCAATATTCAAGAGCTTTCTTCTTCTTTTTCAAGTCAAACAAAAGCAGAAAGACATCACTCTTGTTGATATCCCCTTCACAAATTTATCACTATTCAAATGCTTTCTTCGTATAAAAGTTAAATTTAAGAGTCATCATAGAGATATATATAAAAAAAAGAGAAAAAAAAAGTAAAAAGGAATTGTACAATACACATATCATTAAAAATAGAAGGAAAAAAAAATCAATACATAATTATCTAAGTTGTTGTCAATATCCACTTCACAAGCCTATCAATATTCAAGAGTTTTCTTCTTCTTCTTTTCGTTTTCAAGCCAAATAAAAGCATGAATATAATTCTATAGTAAAAATGAAGGATAACTTTGGATAAAATCTCATGAAACAAAAAATATGAATTTATATAGAAATAATAGAGGAATATCATAAGGTATCTTAACTTTCATATTTAATATTTAAGGGTTATGAATATGAAAAGCTATAAATTATGAGAGTTATAACTATATGCATATTATGTCTAATAAAGAAGATATATTATGGTGGGAGAGGGTTATGAATATGAAAAGTTGAAAATTATGAGAGTTATGAATATATGCACATTATATCTAATAAATAAGATATATCATAGTGGGAGATGACAAATTGAGTAATTGAATATAAAGACTTTATGAGTTATTAAAATAAAAAAATAAAATAGATAATTAAATGAAGAAAAATGGTAAAAAAAGAAGAAGGAAAAAGATAAATATAAATGGAGGCCATAAAGAGGTGCCACATCACCTTGTCTATGTTCCTCATTTATATAAATATAATATAGATTATTTGGTGAGTTTCCTATTTGAATCTCGACTAATTTTGATATTGTATTTGCACTATTTTTTGTATAAAATTTTTGCTAAGTGGCATTCCACATAGAAAAATTATTCTACTGTGCCAAATCTAAATAAATTAGTATAGGATAAAATTATCATTGTATAAATTAATTTAGTTATTCCAATTGTTACATCCATTGTCTTCTTCTTCATCTTCTTAACCATGATCTCGTCTCTGTTATGACATCGATATCTCCGACTTGGAAAGGGAGTGTTTAGAGTTTTAAAGAAGTCAATGAAAAATATATTTAAAAAATTAATGTTTTAGCAAATAAAGATGTTATATCTGTTAGGTGGACGAAAATTTCATGGACAACTACGTCTAGAAGCATTCTAAACTAACTTGTGATCTAGTCGATGTTGCCCAATCTGTGTTTAAAAAACAGTACTACTGATTACAACAAACTTTGCAGAAACACGAAGTTACCAAGTTTCATTAACCAGTGAAGAACAGAAGAACAAAATTTAATTCACAAAACTAAAATCTGTAAAAACATACCAAAATCTTTAAAAAACAGAACAAGAAGAAGATCAAGCCCACTGAATGCACAGTGTTCCCTTAAGTAAATTATTCCCATCTAGTAATCGATGTTTGATTTGGAATATGTCCTCTCAGGATAGAATGATCTCAATCACCAGTGAATTGATACCCAAAACTCTGGTGTCAGTGAGCAACTCAACGGCAGTAAAGTACACGAAAAATATTTGTGCAGAAAAAGAAGAAGAAATCTGAAATTTTCGTAAGTAAAAAGTCTGAAGAATTAAGGGTAGTTATAGCCAAGAGGAACTGGTTCCGAAAGGTTGCAACCTTTCAGAATCCACACAACCATTCATGAAAGTTTGCAACCTTTCAAATGGTCATGGTTGTTCTTGAAAGTTGCAACCTTTCAGAACACTCATTTCCAACGGCGGGAAATTCAAAATAAAATGGGAAAGAATTTAATTAAAACGGGTCGTGCAAATTCGAGTCGGGTAGAAACGTTTTGGTTAATTAACTAATTAATTGAAACGTTTTGGTCATTTAATTTAATTTAATTTAATTAATTAAATAAATAATTAACTAAATAATTAAAACAAAACTTTGTCCAAAAAATAATCTCTCGATCGATCATTTTCCAAAGCCAAAGTCGAGCGACAATGACGACGGCACGAGGGGGGTCCCTCTTTCCAACCCTTTTAACAACTAATATAAGTGTTTCTCTATTTAAACACATCTATTTTCTATAGAGAATATGCTTTTGACATAAAATTCTCTTTGAAGTGGTTTACACTTCACACTCACACAAGTGATTTCTAACTGTGTCATCTCGTAGATACACTATTTGGTCAAATCTGCCAAACTTAGCAAATCATTAAAAACTTTAAGCTTTATTAACTCATTAACAAGCCTTAAGGTCTTAACCTTGTTACCTGAACATTGTCTTCATCATGAGAATGGATTGAGTTGATTGACAATGTCGAACCGTCAGTCACAACTTTGTTTTTCTCCTTGAATCTAACTCTTGGGATCTTCGGTCTGCTAGATAGAGTTACCGCCATGCTGACTTGTCCTAAGTCGTAAACCCATTCCCTTAGATGATCTTTCAATTGCTTGACTTTTCATAGTCAATTGTGATAATTTCACTAGAGAGTAG